AGTAGTTACTAGTTAGTAGTTAGTAGTTACTAGTTAGTAGTAGTAGTAGTAGTAGTAGTAGTAGTAGCAGTAGCAGTAGTCGTAGCAGTAGCAGTAGTAGTAGTAGTAGTAGTAGTAGTAGTAGTAGTAGGCCTAGTACCAGGAGTATACACGACTAGCACTAGCACTAGAATTGGCACTAGCGCTAGCACTTGCACAACAGTACCAATACTGCTTCCATAAGATTGCGAATAGGAGACGAACGAGAGTAGTAGCCATGCCACCGTGTGGCGTGCAGGATCTGGGTATAGAACTTACAGAACCCATCAGCCCTGACCCTGGGTTCTAGTACCTTTGTTGGCTACCCCATACTAGGGTTTAGAGGTTTAAGGTTTGGGGCTAAGGCTTTGGCATAGTCTGGGCTTTTCGGTTCATGGGGCTTTACACTAGGTGAGTCTGAAGGTTTGACTGTTGCGGTTCGAGAAGGCCCTGCCCAATCCCTAGAGACCCTACATGCATTCGTTTCTGTGCTTTTTTGGGGTCACCGGGAGGCTCGCGATGTATGTGATCACCGTGCTCGTGCCGCCAGTCATGACTGGAATTTGAGTTGCTGTGCCGTCTTTAGGGTTTCTGAATATAACCATGCTATGATGTACCCCCCAAACCCCATTCTAGTTATTCAGGTCGCGTTTGTAGTTGAGCCAGACCATTTCCTTGAGCATCCTATAGTATAGGTCATTTTCTGCATGGTTCGCAGAGGCCTGAATTATTTGATTTTGAGCCTCCAAGAGGGTGAGGGGCTTTCAGACTAGTCTATTCACTAAGGCCTCGATCCCGTTGCAGAAGCCCCTTAAGGAACCTAAAGCCCTCTTCCACTTATTAATGCCCCCTATATCAAACAGAAGAGACGACTTAAGGATGCTGGTGCAAGACGCTTTGAAGGTGGGTGCCTGGGTTCTGGAGTACCATACTTCAGCAGATCTTTTTTTTTGGAGGGGGGGCTTTAGGGTTTCCGTAGAAGAACCACTATGAAGTCAACCCTAAACCCTCAACGGTTAGAATACCTCTTAAAGGAACCCTCTAACTTGTCTTCTCCCTGGTAGCTTCAATGACCAGGTGCGCACTTCTCGCCGATGGTTCGATTCTGCGCTCAAGTGTTTGAGGGTTTTGAGGGTTCAGGGTGGATGTTAGACGCCTTGGATTGAACCGGAGCCGATTTCCAAAAGGAGCCCCGAGCGGACCTGAAAACTAGGGTTTGAAGGGTTCAGGGTTTAGGGGTTTAGGGCTTTAAGGGTTTGGGGGTTTAGGGCTT